CCTCAAGGCCCGACCGGGCCAGATTTCATCAATCGCGGGGTTGGGCTCGAACTGCGCCAGGAAGCTGTTGTTCACCAGGATGCCGACGCCTGCATGTGCTGTCGTGGCGCCTGCTGACCACCGGGCCGACGCGCCCGGGGGAGGTTGCCAAACCTCGTGCGTACCAGCGGGGCCGTGCGCCTCCGTGATCAGCACGACGTCCGCCCTCTGCAGGAGCTTGGCGGCGAAGGCCTGCTTCCCCAGCGCGCGGGCCCGGCTGGAAGCGAAGAAAGCCTGCTGCGCATTCCAAGTGCTCACCCGGTAGCTGCCCGTGAACTGGCCGGCACGCGGCGGATCGTGACCGCGGTCAGGAGGATCCAGCTGGCCCGGAAGAAGTGCAGCATGTGGGGGAAGCGCGCCAAGAGCACGACGAAGCCGATGTTGCTAGCAGAATGTGAGGGGCACGTCCCGGCAGTGGAGCGCCTCAAGGTCACGTGGAAGAAGCTCGCCCTGGCTCCACCTCAGCTCTGGCAGGGAGGGTACAACCCTCCCATCATTGAAAAAAAAACACCCAACCTGCGACGCTCAGACGAATTCAAAACACAATGCGAATTAATGGAAGAACGATTGTCGCGCAAAGGAGAGCGAGAACGCGAGGCCGCTCGGCGAATGCCCTCAGAAAAGCCTTCAGACCTCCAATCCTCATCCGAAACCTGGGACCGGCGGCGCGGCTCAGCAGAAGCAGAGCGGAAACGCAAGACGAGGTCCAGAACGAAGTACGAGGAGCCGTCAGGATCCCAAACCTGAATTCCCTCATGCAGATCGCACCTGTGATGTTCGCGGGGGCAGCCGGCGCTCACTGCCGCCGCCTGGAGCCCCCCGGCACCGTCGCAGCGTCCACGATGTCGCTGGTGACCTCGATGGCGACGGTGTCAATGCCGATCTTGACAGTCTGGCCCTGCAAGGCGGCGTAAACCCGACGGACATCTTCAAGCGATGCGAGGAAGGCCCTGACCCTCCCTGGAGGGGCAGAGGGATCCGCCGTGGCCAAATGCTGGAATTGACCTGGTTTGGGCGGGGAGGTGTAATTGCACTCGGTCAGCTGGAGCCCCGTCGCCTGGATGACGTGCTGCATGACGCGCCCCAGGACCTTTCCATCCTCCCTGCCCGTCTCCCCCAAGATGCGGACGTCGACCTGGAAGTCCAAAGATGTCAGAGGGGAAGTGCCGCCCTTGCGGGAGGCCGCAAGAGCCTGCGCCGTGGCATGGGGAGTTGCCACGACCCTGCCACCGTTGCGGGAGGCCTTCCACTTGAGCCGCGAGCCTGTCTCCGAAGGCTCCTCCTGCATGGCCTTCGTCATCGCGTCGGTCCATGTCGCCGGCGCCGTGTCGGAGATGACCACCACCGTATCCCCGGTGACGGGGACCCACTGCGAGCAGAGGGGCCAGTAGTGGTGGGCCGTGAGCGGCGTGCTAAGCTCAAGCAACAGAGATCCCGAATCACAGACGATGGATTTCAGCCCGAAGAAAGCATCCCGTGGGAGGGGGCCAATACGCGATTGCCGCATGAACAGCAAGATCTCCAAGTCCGTGACAGAATCGGGCAGCACCCAGTCGACTGTGATCCGAGGTCTGTCATTCGTGCTCAGAGGGCTCCTCCGGGGGTCTCGGGCCAGCACCCCCTGGAGTGCCGCAGCATCAAGGAGCTGGGAGACGCGGAAGAAGTCCGAAGCGCGCATGTCGAGGGTCAGCGTGCGGGGCGCGTCGATCTCGCAGATGGCGTGCCTCACCACCCCCAGCCTCGGGTTCGCCGCCACTCCCTCTGGACGAACACGGAATATGGCAAGGCCAGCCCTAGTCATGCGAGGGGGGCCCCGTCCTGGAAGTATGACCTCGTAAGTTCCATCCATGATCACCTTGTCCTTGACCACTGCGGCCCACTTGGCGGAGAGCAGCGCGTGCGACCATAGGTCCAAGCGGTCCCCGACGCTTCCAATGCACATGGCCTCCGGCACCGTGGTGATGAAGTAAAGGTCCACCGGCCGTGGATCGCCGGAGCGTGATTTCATGAACTGGCCAATGAGCCTGGCGAGGGAGCCGCGATCCCCTGGGGCCCATACCAGCACCGAGCGCCCCGCAACCATGTCCCAGAAGCGTTTGTCCCCCTTCTCCGCCAGGGTGGCTATGGCTCGAGCGTCCTGGATAGATGCGGCGGTGACGCCCGACACCTTGCCCAAGTCCGACCACTGCGTGAGGAGGATCACTCCCGCGGGAAGCGCCGCCGCGATGTCCTGGATGGCGACGGCGCCGAGCTCATTGTGGAGGGGGAGCTTCGAGACCTTCTCGCGCCGGCGCAGCCTGAGAGCCTCAGGTAGAGCGGCCGTGCAAGCATCCGCCGCCCTCCGTACCCTCCTCCGTAACTCCTCAATCTCGGCTGCCGCCCCCGGGTCCTGCCCAGATTGGCACACGTAGTCACTGAGCGTCAACGCAGTGTGCAGCCGAGAATTGATGATGATCTCATCCGGGTCAGGGCCTTCCAAGAGAGCCATGCCAAGCAGCCTCCAGGGATCCGTGGCTACCACATCGTATCCCAGGCGGTTCAGCAGAGCGCCCAGGGCCGTCGCCGAGTGCGGCATGGGCGGAGCCGTACGCTGGGCTCCATCCGAGGCTGCTGCGGACACCAAGGGGAGGAAGCGCGAGATCTCCTGCTCGACGAAGTCGGTAAAGGCCTGCTCACGCCAGCCAGGGGGCGCGGGGAGGACAGAGGCCGAGGCTGCCGTCCTCCTGATGTCGTCGTCGTCCACCTCGATGGCCTCCAGCTGGCCCGCCTCGGAGTCCGCGTTCGCGTCCATCCGCAGAGCCGCCAAGCCCTGCGTGGCGCCGGACTCGGCGGCCTCGGCGTGCAGGCTGCCTGCGGCAGGCAAGGCGGCCCCAGCGGGTAGCCCTGGCGGCAGCGGCGGCCCGGCGGCGGGCGGGGCTGCACAGCCATCGCCAGGAGCTGGAAGCCCCGGCGGCAGCGGCGGCTGGGCCGCCTCAGCGGCTGGTGCGATAGCCGCTGCGACGCCATGGCCGGGCAACGCCTGCCCGCAGCGCCGGCAGCGGCCCAGCTCGTCGGCGGCCGCGGGCAGCGCACCGAAGAGCGGGCACGCCTCATGAGCGCACGCCATTTCACGCAGAGAGGGAAGTCTGCGTAGGATGGAGCGGACGGGGGCGAGGCTTGAGCCCTAAGCCCTTGGGCCTTCCCAAGGGTGCAATGCTGTGGTGACCACGGCCCCCAGAGGCCGCATCAGTGGTCTAGTGGTAGAATACATCGAAACGAAAATCAAATTTCTGCACACTCCTGATCGAAACCCTTCACGATGGAAATCTGATCCGCGCACGATCCTCGGCAAAAGACATTATGCGGTGCAGAGCTGCCGATCATAATATCACCTTGCCAGGATATCTACCTTAGGGGTTTAGGCAATTAAACTGATACTCTGCTCGTCCCCGATCCAAGCCCTTCACGACGGAAATCTCTGCCGCTCACGACACTGTGCAAAGACCTATGCGGCGCACATCTGCTGATCTCAACATTGCCTTCTCAAGCCTTCAACCTTCACGATCAGATGCCATTCGTATATGCTCTGCGAACTCCAGATCTAAGCCTTTCACGATGGAAACCTGTGCCGCTCACGGTCACCTGCAACAGACCACTATGAGGTGCACATCTGCTGATCTTAACCTCGCCTTCTCAAGCCTTCAACCTTCAACAACCTGTGCGAATGATATGTTGTGTTCGGCACACCCCCCGGAATACACCTTGCACGATGAAAATCCCTGCCGCTCACGACCCGTGGCATCACAAACCAAAAACACGATGCGGTGCACATTTGCTGATCTGAACATCGCCTTCTGAAGGCTTCACCCTTCACGATTCGATGCAACTCACATGGTTATTTCTGCACACTCAGATTTGAAACGTTCACACTGCCGTCGTCGTTGCCATCATCGCATCACAGTCGTCGTTGTCATCATCAGATGGAAATTGCCGTCGTCATCACCGTCGTCGGCGTTGTGGTTGCCACCGTCGAAGCCGTCATCGTCGACGCCGTCGTCGTCGACGCCGTCGTCGGCGTCGTCATCGTCGCCGACGTCGTCGTCGTCATCCTCGTCTTCGACGTCGTCGTCGTCGTCACCCTCGTCGTCTTGAGCCGTCGTCGTTGACGTTGTTGTCGTCCGACTCGAGCCTTGTGCTGCCTTTCGTGGGTGGCAGCATTTCGCTCGTCATCGTCGTCGTCGTCGCCGTCGTTATCATCGCCGTCGTCGTCGTCGTCGACCTCGAGGGTCTGTTTTGCCAGGTTTCCGATGCTGCAGAAATCTGCGACGGCCTGAAGAGAGGGTATAATAGTTTCATGGGATGTGTAGTCCTCGCAAGATCTTGGTAGCCCTAAGCCCTAAGCCACCACCCTAATCCCGAAACCCCAAGCCATAAACCCTAAATCCTAAGACTAAGTCCGAAGCCCTTAGCCGTAAGCCCTGAGCTCAAAGCCCTAAGCACTCAGCCCTGAACCCTAAGGCCACAGCCTAACACCCAAAGCCTCGCACGCAGAGGTACCTCCCCCATCCCGAATCCTCTCCGCCGAAAAGGCGGGGGATGGCAGGCGGGGGTCAAACATCCCCCCCCCCTGTCTGACGCAAAGGGGGGCGGGGGGTCCGACCTCCCCTCCCTTTCAAAGGGAGGGGGAGGTCCGAAAACTCCCCCCCCCTTGGAGCGGGGGTGGGTGTGCGAGCACATCGCCCTCTCAATTCGAGGGGCATCCCCTGGCGCTCTTCCTCAGGAAGGGATGCGATGTACGTATGCGCATGAATGTGTATGTTTATATACACACACATATATATATATATACATCTGCATTATTACACACATGTATTGGTATTATATACACATACATACACGCACGTGCACACACCAGCAAACTAAATATTCGAATATCTGACCTCCTCCCCGTCCTGCAGGGAGGGGAGGCGCTCCCACCCGTCGTGATCGGGCTGCACCTCGCCGTTGAGTCTCAGGGTCCAGGCCTCCGCCCCCAGCGCCAGCTCGATTGTGAACGGCGTGGCGGCGCTCGCAAGCTGCCAGGCCTCGCTTACACCGGCGCTGATGCTCCTCCTTCCCCCTGGCCCTCCACTACCAGCATGCCTGTCTCTCGTCCCCTCCTCTCGCATCCATTCCCTACCGCCTTCAGCATGTCCTCCCCTGCCCGGGTCTTCGTCCTGCTCATACTGATGCCGATTTCTCATGTCCGCACCCTCCTGTCATCAGACTCATCATGCCCTTCTCCTGGGCTCATCCTCTGCCTCATTCTATGATAATGGTGATGCTCCTCCTCTGCTCCTTGCACGACCTTCTGTCCTCCTCGGGTCCTCCGCAGAATCATGTTATTATCCGAAGTTCCTCTTGCCAACATCCACCTCCACCTTCGGGGGCCATATGCGAACCCTACCCCTACCCCCCACACGGTTTTTAACGGGGAGGGGCTACGAACGAAATGAACCCCACCCTCCCCCTCAGAAATCGTGTGGGGTAGGGGTAGGGTTCGCATGTGGCCCCCTACACCTATCATCCACGGCTTCCTCATTCTCTCATGCTCCCTTTTTCTTCGAATTTGCATCCTCAACCACCTACTCTCCACACTTTGCGTACCCTCACCCGCAGAGTCTCTTCCGCTCCCTCTCTCTCTCTCTGTCTCTGCGTCCCTCCCCTCTTGTATGATCGTTTCGTCCTTATCCGATGTCCTCTTCCTCCTCCTTTCTCCTTCTACGTGTCTTCCAGCGCGAGTCGGAAGATCTGATGTCATTATTTTCTGGTGTCGCCATCGTGATGCGATCCATTATCCTTCTCATATGATCGTCCACCTCCTGTGTTACCCATGTCACCTCCAGCTCCCTGTCCTGTTCTTACAGGTACTCATATCTGGTCCGGGCCCCCCCCACTGCTCTTCCTGCTCCTCATCCTTCTGCTCTCGTGTTGCTTGCCCGCTCCTGCTCCTCCTGATGCTATCACACTCCAGCTTTTTCAGCTCGTCCAGCTCCTCCCCTCCTCCTGAACAGAAGCCACAGAAAAAAAAACGCACGCGTTTCGCGCGCGCGTAGGCTCCGGCAAGCCTCAGACATTGACAACTGCACGCGCGTACGTAGCCACGAGCTGTTTCGATACCGCTTGGCAAGGAGCAAGAGCGCAGACTGGGCAACCAAGGTGTCTTAGGAGCTCTTCGGGGGTTCTAGGAGGTGAGCGTTTTCTTATTCGGCGTTTCGACATTGTGCAAACAAAAAGAGTCTGGCTGCGGACCTCTGCTTAGTGCGACTGTTTGCAACCGTGCGTCTCATGGTGGAGACCCCACCTGCTCGAAACAGGCGCCCAAAACAGCCAAGATCTACTCCATGGGGGAAAAGGGGGGTGTGAGGGCCCGCGCCGATCGGCAAAACAACGAATCAGAAAACGATTCTGAGCTCGTTGAGTGCCTGGCACCCGTCTCACCGAGGAAGTCTTCAGGACAATTTGGGTGTGCAGGGGGCTGCCAGGGGGAATTGGTCACGCCTTCTTGAGGCGGTCTTGGGCCCTCCGGGGCCGTTACTATATGGGGTCAGAAGTGGACTGGGGGGGGTCACGAGAGGGGAGCACGACGCTAAGGAGGAGGCAAGTGAGGAAGAGGAAGCAGCTTCTCCCCTCTCCCAGTTGAAGCGTGCGCACGTAGTTCTAGCGCAGCACAAGTCACGTCACCATGGCGGCACAATAGATATACATTTCTCCTCACCTGCTGCGCGTCTTTTCAGCTGTGGAACGCCAGATTTAGGTCGGGCGTGTCCCCCTACAGGCGGATGTTGGGCGAAAGGTTGAGAATACTTTAAAATCCCCAAGTAGCCAATACAGACTCAAACAATAGCCCCCAGACTATCTTTTGACTATCTTAGAGTACGCCTCCTCTAGAGGGTCACGCCCGACTCAACGCCAGATTCCCTCCTATGTATCTGTTTCGGCTGCACGCCTCCATAGGGGCTCATCTCTCTGTCTCTCTGGCCCCTTCGCTCCAGCCTCTCTCCATTCCTGCTCGCATTTGTTCAAGCCTCCTGCGTCCTTCGCATTTTCCCCCACTTGGAGATGGAAAAAAGGACGTACGCCCAACACCGAACTGGATAGGTCGCCCCCTCCTCCACTTCCCCCTTTACCCACCTTCAATTCCCCTCCTCCTCCTCCTCCTCCTCCTTCTCTCCTCCGCCTCCTCCTCCTCCTCCTCCTCCTCCTCCTCCTCCTCCTCCTCCTCCTCCTCCTTCTCCCCTCCTCCTCCTCCTCCTCCTCCTTCTCCTTCCCCACAGTCGTCATTACATCACAGCAACAATCACCATCATCGTCGTCATCGTCGTCGTCATTGACATTGTCATTGTCGTCATTTTCGTGATTGTCGTCATTGTCGTTATCAGCATCATCAACAACATCATCCTTATCATCGTCACCACTACTATCATCATCATATCATCATCATCATCATCATCATCATCATCATCATCCTCATCCTCATCCTCATCCTCATCCTCATCCTCATCCTCATCCTCATCAACATCATGATCATCATCATCATCATCATCATCATCATCATCATCAGCATCATCATCAGCAACATAGTCATCATTTTACCCATCATCATAATCATCAGCATCATCATCCTCATCAACATCAGCATAATCCTGAACAGCATCAGCATCATTATTGTTCCCCTCATCATCATCATCATCATCATCATCATCATCATCATCATCATCATCATCATCATCATCATCACAACCATCATCATCATAACAACCACCATCATCATCACCATCATCAGCATCATCATCATCCTCATCCTTATCCTCATCATCACCATCATCAGCATCATCAGCATCATCATCGGTATCAGCATCAGCGTCAACATCATCAGCATCATCATCATCAGCATCATCTTCAGTTTCGTCATCATCGTCACCATCATCATCAGCACACATTTCATCATCAGCATCTTATTCGTCATCATCATCATCATCATCATCATCATTATCATCATCATCATCATCATCGTTGACGCCGTCATGATAAACTCGTCGACATCTGTACAATCGTCAACGGCATCGTCAGCATCGTCGCCATCGACATCATCGTATCATCGCCCTCCTCCTCCTCCTTCTCATCATCGTCAGCATCCGTATCATCATTATGATCACAATCAAAATCAAAAACATAATAATACGTATTACCATAATACTAATACAAAAATCATCATCATCATCATCATCACCACCATCACCATAACCATCATGACACCATCATCATTAGAGGGAATTTCTGTGGAACTCACGTCATCCTGACCCCTGGTGTCGCCTCCGAGCGCCCCCCCAGGGACCATTTCCGGCGCTGCGCTGGGCGTGAAGACATCCTCGCAACATCGCCCCACGGGCCCCCAGCGCACCTCCCGGCGCTGCGCCGGGCGTGTCCCCATCAGGCGGTCTCGCTCGAGACATCCTCGCGACATCGCCCCACGGGCCCCCAGCGCCCGCCCAGGGGCCATTTCCGGCCCTCTTGCTCCACATCCTCACCTGGCCCTCCTGCTCCACATCCTCACCTGACCCTCCTTCTCAACATCCTCACCCTCTCCACGCTCGCCTGATCCTCATCCGCGTGACCCTCACTCTCCTGATCCACCCCTTCGCGAACCTCGCCATCCTGATCCTCACGCTCATTCTCCTCTCGATCGGTGTCCTGCCGCCAAGAAACGCACGCACATTCTTCTATACACAGAAACTCCCGAAGAACCGCAAAACGGCCGGCTAGTAATCCTCATCCTCATCATCCTCATCATCATCATCATCATCATCATCATCATCATCATCATCATCAGCATCAGCATCAGCATCAGCATCATCATCATCATCATCATCATCATCATCACCATCATTATCATCCTCATCATCATCAACAACAATAACATCAAAATCATTATGGTGCCTCATGGGCTGTCTCAGACGCTCTGAGGACCACCAATCGAAGAGACCCAAACCTGTCGATGACGAACGCCAAAGCCGTGATTTTCACCTCTCGGGGGCATCTTTGACAAACTTTTAGAGCGTTCTTGGGGCCTCTTGGGGGCTTCTTGGGGTCCTGCTGTTGGTCTCGACGGTCCTCTTGAGGCGGAGGGCTCGAAATGTCAGTTAGAGGTCTCGTTCGTGGGGCGTCTTGAAGGTTCTCTTCGGGCTGTCGTGGGGGGATCTTGGACCGTCTTGGGGCGATGTTGGGTGGTATTGGGGACCCCTTGGGTCGTCTTGGTGGGCTCTTGGGGCTCTCCTGGGCCGTCGTGGTGCGATGCTGTGGGCCTCTTTGGTCGTCATGGACTCTGTGAAGATCCAAGGAGTGCATGTGCAAAAAGTCAGATGTCCTCGGGAGTGGGACGATGTTAACCTCTTCGGGCGCTCTGAAGGGATCTCTTTGGACTCTCTTGGGAGCGACCTCTAGGGACGTCTTGGAGGGCTCTTAGGGCGCTCTTGACACCATCTTGGGCACGTATTGGCTGTCTGGCGGCCTACCAGAACGTGTTTTCGACGCCTCCCGAAGCCGAAGTAGCCACGACCCGAAAAGGGGCTCCACAACCCCGAGACCAAAGTGGGATGCGGGGAGAAGAGGGGGATTTTTTTAAAATGTGCTGCCCCGGGCCCAGAGATGAGGCCCATTCGTTGCTACAGTCTACCAGAAGCCTCCCAAGTGGGGTCCGAGTAGATGGGGTCGAAGGATCGTGCTGCATCGCCGATGCATTGCCGATGCCTCACCGATGCATCGGCGATGCATCGGCGACGCCGGCGATACATCTGCAACGTTGGCGATGAGAAAATCGGGCTCCACATCGAGCCGCATCGCCAATGCATTAGGCGGCGTGATCCTTCGACACCATCTACTCTGACCCCATCCAATGGGTCTATAGATCTATAGATAAGATAAAGTAAAGCTAGCCATCGTGGATTCGATGTTGTGCAGTCAAGGTGGTGCGATATGTCGGGCGATCGAAGCGTACGTTCGACGTGGTGCAATAGATGTGGTGCGGTCGATGTGGTGCGGTATGTGTTGTGCAATGTATGTTGCACGATCCATGGTATGAGATATACGTAGCACCCCGCAATTGCGGATAAGAGTGAGGGGGCGGGCGCGGGCGACACGGGCGTCGTCGAGCCGGCGGACCTCGTGGCCCCCACCTTCCCTGTCGATGACGCTCTCCTCCTCCTCCTCCTCCTCGTCCTCCTCCTCCTCCTCCTCCTCCTTCTCTTCCTCGTCCTCGTCCTCGTCCTCATCGTCATCGTCATCCTCCTCCTCCACCTCGTCCTCCTCCTCCTCCTCCTCTTCTTCCTCGTCCTCCCTCTTCCCCCCTCGTCCTTCCATCATCGTCCTCCCATTGTCGTCCTCCCCCTCATCGGCCTCAATCATCGTCCTCCCATTGTCGTCCATCATCCTCCTCCTCCCCCTCCTCCCCCTCCTCGTGTCCTCCTCCCCCTCCTCCCCCTCCTCGTCCACCTGCTCCTCTTTCTCCACATTCTCCTTACATCCTCTCTTCTTCCGCGTCCTCCTCGTCCCCTGTTTACTCCTCCTGCCTCCCCCTCCTTTCCCAAGATAACGGCAACGCAATCCTTTTATCCACTTTATGCTCCCCGATTTCTCTGATCAAGGCAACTCGCCAGGGCAAAAATTGCTGGACGGGCTGGTGTGGATGCGCGGGGCTTGAAAAGGTCGTTGCGGGCTCAGACGGCATGCAAACATCCGCCGCCGCGCTTGTGCGGCATTGGTTTGTTCAGTGAACGTGGTTAAGGTCGCGGGTGGGTCGCGGGCTCTCCACCTCCACCTGGAATGAATGCAAAAGCAGCCCGCCGAAGGCGCCGAAAAAATTGGTTTGTATGCCCGCCGCAGGCGCCGAACAATTTGGTTTGTACCCTGAACGTGGTCGCGGGTGGGCCGCGGGCTCTCCACCTGAAACGAGTGCACTAGATGCCCGCCGCAGGCGCCGCAAAATGTGGTTTGTATCCTGAACGTGGTTTGGGTCGCGGGTTGGTCGCGAGTTGGTCGCGGGGTGGGTCGCGGGCTCTCCACCTGGAAGGGATGCAAAAAATGCACGCCGCAGGCGCTGAAAATTGTGGTTTGTACCTTGAACGTGGTTTGGGTCGAAGGTGGGTCGCGGGTGGGTCGCGGGGTGGGTCGCAGGTGGGTCGTGGGTGGGTCGCGGGTGGGTCGGGTCGCGGGTGGGTCGCGGGTGGGTCGCGGGTGGGTCGCGGGGTGGGTCGCGGGGTGGGTCGCGGGGTGGGTCGCGGGGTGGGTCGCGGGTGGGTCGCGGGTGGGTCGCGGGTGGGTCGCGGGGTGGGTCGCGGGGTGGGTCGCGGGTGGGTCGCGGGGCGGGTTGCGGGTGGGACGACGACAACAAACAACAACAACAACAACAACAAAAACAATTACTAGCACGTGGGGACACTCCGTTCTCACCAGTGCCAGGGTTTTCATAGGAGGCGGGCAATACCCCCACTTTGTGGGGGGGCCGGTTCAAGCTCTACCAAATTTCCAAACGACTCTTCGCCACCACCCACACCCAGCTTCCCGCCCTATGACGTTCGGACACTTCACTTCGTGGCATGCGGACGACCGTGGCTACTATTCAGGGCCCCGCGGCCGACGACGACGGCGTGCGCGCGCGAAGAAAAAACGAATGTGTCCCGCATGGTATTATTTGACAGGGATGATGGCCCTGGCAGGTGCGCAACCGTTGTTGCAGAAGTTCGAAAAAGTTGCTAGCAAAAGCCCGTTTGACAGAAATGTTTAAAAAGTGTTGGATTTCCTACGAATCCGCAAGAGCGCGCGGGATGAACTTTTGACATTTTTTTGAAAAGCCATTGGTTTTTTGATGTTTTTATGTTAAAAGCGTTACGAAAACTAAGGTTTTGGAAGGATTTCGTCTTGCGCGCGCGAATGTCCACTTTACCTTATTTTTTGCAAGGGATTCTTGAAGTTTGGATATCTTAGAACAAGAAATCTCATTTTATAGTGTTTTTTGCAAGGGAAAACGGGGGACAACAAAACAACCGGATCTGGACCACATCGTTTTGCCTGAGGCTTCCTCACGAAAATGATGAAAACGTGGCTGCGGCCTAGGCGCGGCGGGGGGGCCGCGCACCAGGGGCCCCAACAATAATTATTCTTAAGAAATAATGTTCAACAACAACAACAACAACAACTTGGTTGGCTTTAAAAATGGTCTGGGCATTTTTTCACCATTTCCAGCTCGGCATCTTGAAAATCATTCTTCTACCATTTTTAGATCTCAACATAAAAATTAGAAATGCTAAAACAATGAATCATTTTTTATTTCATTTCCGGATCATTTTTTGTCATTTTCAGGTCAGATCTCTACCGCACGAGTACTACTACTATTACTACTACTACTACTACTACTCCCCCTCCTCCTCCTCCTCCTCCTCCTCCTCCTCCTCCTCCTCCTACTACTACTACTACCACTACTACTACCACTACTATCACTACTATCACTACTATCACTACTACTACTACTACTACTACCACCACCACCACCACCACCACCACAACCACCACCACCACCACCACCACCACCACCCCACCACCACCACCACCACGACGACTACTACTACTACTACTACTACTACTACTACTACTACTACTACTACTACTACTACTACTACTACTACTACTACTACTGGTTTGCGCCCAGCCCTTCCTGGATTCTGGACGGCGACGTTTTTGATCTCGAAGTGGATTTTGATGAACTCCATGATGGCCTGGCGGCTCAGGCACTGCGCGGACACCATCGCTCAAGCGACAGCTGCGCTGCTGTTGCTGCCGAGCTCCAGCGGCTGGCTTGATCCAGCGGCTGCGCGCGCAGTGAGAGCAGCCACCAGAAAGCAGCCAGCAGAGCTTCCCCAAACGGCCAGGGGGCCTCTGGGCCTGATTTCGACCATGTTTTTACCATTTCCAATACATTTTTTACCATTTTAACTCTGAGTACGAACTCCGGTTCTGGGCTCCCGCCGTTCCCCTGTCCGCGCAGCTACTGGATCAAGCCAAGGGCTGGGGCGCGCCAGCGACGCCACGACTCAGCGATGGTGTCCGCGCAATGCCTGAGCCGCCAGGCCATCATGGAGTTCATCAAAATCCACTTCGAGATCAAAAACGTCGCCTCCAGTAGTAGTAGTAGTAGTAGTAGTAGTAGTAGTAGTAGTAGTAGTAGTAGTAGTAGTAGTAGTAGTAGTAGTAGTAGTAGTAGTAGCAGTAGTAGTAGTAGTAGTAGTAGTAGTAGTAGTAGTAGTAGTAGTAGTAGTAGTAGTAGTAGTAGTAGTAGTAGTAGTAGTAGTAGTAGTAGTAGTAGTAGTAGTAGTAGTAGTAGTAGTAGTAGTAGTAGTAGTAGTAGTAGTAGTAGTAGTAGTAGTAGTAGTAGTAGTAGCAGTAGTAGTAGTAGTAATAGTAGTAGTCGTCGTAGTACTAGTCGTAGTCGTCGTAGTAGTAGCCGTTGTAGTAGCAATAGTAGTAGTAGCAGTAGCAGTAACAGTAGCAGTAGTAGAAGTAGTCGTCGACGTCGTCGTCGGCGTCGTCATCGTCGGCGTCGTTGTCGTCGTCCTAATAGTAGGGGTACAAGAGGAACGTCAGGAAATGACACGGAAAGGCGGCCTCACAGAGGCAGAAAAAATGACAAAAACATGAACCAAAAAATGAGAAACAAATGTCATGTTTAACCATTTCCAGCTCTCCAAAAGCGGAAAGTTGGAAATTGAAAAACAAATCCAGGCCATTTTTAACGCCAACCAAGAACAACAACAACAACAACAACAAAAACAACAACAACAACAACAACCAACAACCAACAACCAACAACCAACAACCAACAACCAACAACAACAACAACAACAACAATCACAACAACGACGAGAATCCGCACCGCGGAATCCCACTTCAGCCACGCACCCAGGGACAGTGAATGACCGTTCGGCCCCCTCACTCTGATGTGGTGCAATACGTGTGATGCGACCTATGTGGTGCAGCATATGCGTGCAGTATATGTGTAGTGCAATGTATGAGGTGCTATCTGTGAAGTGCGATATTTGTTGTGCAGTTCATCCGGTGCGCTCTATGTGGAGCAATGCATGTGGCGCAACCGCTGTTGTGCAATTGATGTGGTGTAATCCAAATGGAGCAATGTATGTGGTGCACGCTGTGCTATCGACGCAGTGCGAGATATGTGGTGCGATAAATGGGGTGCAATCTACGCAGTGCAATAATAATGGTGCAATCAATGTGCTGCAATCTATATGTTGCCACATGTGTGGTGCAATATTATATGTGTAGATGCACTCATGGTGCAATATACGTAAATGGTGCACTCTCTGCTGTGTAATCTATGTGGTGCCAGACAGAATCAAGCAATACAAGTCAATGTGATTGCAAAACCAGCGCTGTTGCAATGCACAGCAATGTAACGAAAGCAACGCAAAGAGATGCAAGGCAATACAAAGCAATGCGAAGCGACGAGGCGGCGACGAGGCGGCGACGGGGCGGCGACGGGGCGGCGACGGCGACCACGGAGCCACCAGACCGCCACGCAGGCCCAGACGACGGGCGGCGACGAGGCGGCGACGGGGCGGCGACGACGACCACGGAGCCGCCAGACCACCACGCAGGCCCAGTTCCTCAGAAAAGAAATAATAAGAACCCCTCAGTGCAAGCACTGCTAACACGCCCAACACGTCCACGACGACAACGAAAACGATGACGAAGACGACGGCTCGCGCCAGGCCTCGGGCAACGGCGCGTCGCGCTGGGGACCCCAACCGCCGCGCAGGCAGTGGTTCATGGCAACCATCCCGGCTCTTGGCCTCGGGTCGGGGAGGATATGCGTAGATGGCGACATCCGAACCCTAGCCCCACCAACCCTCGATTCTCCTGAATCGATGGGAAACGGGGGTAGGGTTCGGGTCTCGCCACGTGTTCGACGAATTCCGAACCCTACCCCCGCTGCCAATCGAATTGCCTCGTCTCTATCAGGGGGGTGTAGCGACCTGAACTGTGCGTAAAAATCTGCCCGAGTGACCGAAACCTGCGCCCGATGCTTTCCGAACGCGCCAGAGTGCCACCGAAATGCTTGGTGCGAGACCAAAGCGATTTACAATTTCGGCCACACTTGTCACTGCACCGACCTTGCAGACGTGTTGCAGCGGGTTTTTGCGTGGATGCCTGCCGATGCAAAACCCCGAAAAGGCGAGTGAAAAACGAAGTGAATTTCGCGTGGATTTGTTTAAAGCCTTCACTCCTGGCCATACAACATCCGCACGAAATTCACCTCGAAATCCGGAACGAAATTCTCCAGGACACTCCAGACCCTTCGTATTGTTTTCCGAACGAAATCCGCTCGGCGATGTTGGCACCATGACACTTGGTCACTCTACGTTTTCGGTCCGAATTTCGGGCACGCTTTCGGTCACCGACTTTTGTTCGACCGCATGCCTTTTCGGCTGGTAAGGGCCAGGGAGGATGTGCGGTCCAGCGGCCCGCGGAGATGATGCCGCCTTCGTCGTCGAGGTCGTTCTCGTCGGTCATCGGTCATTCGTCGTCGTCCTCGGCCGCCGGTCGTCATCGTCAATCGAAGATCGATTGTCGGGCGACTGTTGCTGCTGTGCGGTTGGGCTTTCCAGAAATCCATGTCTTGGAACGTGTCTTCGAACGGTCGATACGGCGAGTGTCCTTGACAGGCTTACATCGCAGGCGGCAGCCCATCGGCGCGTGAAATGATAAAAAACTGTGTGTGTGTGTGTGTGTATGTGTGCGCGTGCGTGTTGAGGAGCTCGAGTCGGCTCTCGGCGCTCTGGAGCGAGGGAGAAGGGGAAGAGAGGGGTGGGAAGAAAGAGAGAAAGAGAGAGAGGGAGGGAGCGAGGGAGAGGGAGGGAGACAGGGAGTGTGAGAAGAGGGAGGGAGGGAGGGAGGGAGGGAGAGAGACGCAGACAGAACGAGAGCGCCAGAAAGGCAGGGGGGGTAATTCAGGTGGTGGTGGTGGTGGTGGCCTGGTAAGGCATCGGGTGGGGCCGCGGGCACAGCCCCTTTAGCGGCGCCTCCCGTTCTGGGATGGCTGGGGTACGGATCCAGCGACCGCAGAGTCACGGCGCAACTCGGTCCAAGAGACCACCCGAGGCGACCCCCCCCGGAACCTCTCCGTCTCCTCCTCCCTGTCCACATGATTCCTAGCTGCACCCTCCTCCCCTACCCGTGGAGCGGGCGTTCCCGGAAGGAGAGAAGGCTGCAACTGGACGCCCCTCCTGGGACTGGGGGAAGATGGGCCTTTCCCTGGGGGGGCCCGGCAGCCTCAAGTGCGGGGAGGACACCAGAAGGGAAGGAAGAGAGAGCGAGGATGGGGAGGAAGAGAGGGATGAATGGGGAGGAAGGGAGGGGGAGGGGGGATGGGAGAGGGAGGAGGGAGAGGAAGGAAGTGATGATGATGAAGAAGAAGAAGATAATGATGATGATGATGATGATGATGATGATGATGATGATGATGATGATGATGATGGTGATGATGATGATGATTATGATGCTGATGATGATGACGATGACAATGACGATGACGATGACGACGATGATGATGCTAATGCTGATGATGCTGATGATGATGATGGCGATGATGATGATGATGATGATGATGATGATGATGATGATGATGATGATGATGATGATGATGATGATGATGATGATGATGATGATGATTACGTATGATGATGACGATTGACCGTACCTGAGAGGCGCAGTCCCGCCTGGCTCGCTAATTAGGACAGTGGCGTGCACTGTAGCGGCGACCGCGGCGCGATGCTGCTGGGCATCAGCAGTCTCTCCATGACCGAGCGATGCCTCCAGCTTGTGATGCGTATGGTATGGAATGAAAGCACGCCGTGGCGAATCGCGGCCTGGCGGCAGTGTGCGCAGGATGCGCTGTTGTATTCGTTGTCGGCGCCGAGGCCGAGAATTAGATGGGGAGAGGAAGACAAGGCGAGGAGCTCACGGAGGACGGGGCAGGAACAGTAGTCGGACATGGAATCGGTGGCACCGCTGCAGCCAAAGGGACAGCTGACCACTCCAGCCACAAACATGCGATGTGGAGTTGTCCAGCCGCCCGCGAGCGTCTTTAGGAGCGACCACTGCCAGGCTGGCTTCTGCAAACGAAGGGCGGCCAGGCAGTCATTCCAACGCTCCTTCACTGTGCCGCTGATCGTGTCCAGCAGGCCCCATCCCAGTGGCCCTTTGAAATCCCTCGGAGCAGCGGCTCACGAAGGAGAGTTTGACATCGCTGGAGGATGCAATGGCCGATCTTCTAGCAGGGCGCGCTGCATGTGCCCTGCAACCATTCTACGAGTGAGCGTGGTTGCGCCACCGATTAAGACCACTCATCGAGCTGCTGCTGCCATCCCCTGAGAGTGTGATAAGCGCAGCGCCAGGCTCGACGCACACAAGATGGGGGCGGATGCTGGGGCGACTAATTTGTGAGTCTTGAAAGCGAGCAGATCGGCGTTGCGGACCGTGCTTGGCGTCAGCCTTGGAATTTTTGATGCTGGTGATGATGCTGCTGATGATGATAGTGAAGACGATGATGATGCTGTTGATGATGTTGATGATGATGATGATGATGATGATGATGATGACGATGATAATGATGTTGATGATGTCGATGATGATGAGTATGATGATGATGAGGAGGAGAAAGAGAAGGAGGAGGAGGAAGAGGGGGGGAGCGGGAGGTGGAGGAAGAAGAGAGTGACCATGCAGGGGGGGAAGAGCGACAGCAGACGCAGTAGCTCTCGGCCTTGGGTTGAGGTGCCACAGGCGGGAGGCGCTGGGCTCCTTGTCCCAGTGCCGCGCGTCGCCACTCCAGACGTTCAGGTACCAGCCCCAGCCGGCATTCGGGTGATCCTCGCTGCCCTCGTCGTGCCCTCCATCCCTCCTGAAGTCCTACTCCTGCTTCTTTACTCCTCCTCCTCCTCCTCTTCCACGTCATCATCGTCATCATCATCACCACCATCATCATCATCATCATCATCAGCAGCAGCAGCAGCAGCAGCGTCATAATCTTCAGAATCGTCATCAGCATCATCACCATCATCACCCTCCTCATCACCACCACCACCACCATCAGCATCAGCATCATCATCAGCAGCATCAGCATCAGCATCAGCATCAACATCAGCATCAGCATCAGCATGATGATCATCATCATCATCATCATCATCATCATCATCATCATCATCATCATCATCATCATCATCATCATCATCATCATCATCATCATCATCATCATCAGCATCAGCATCAGCATCAGCATCAGCATCATCATCATTGCCCAACGCCCTCCTCCTCCTTCTGCTCCCCCTCCTCCTCCTCCGCGTCCTCCCTGCCCCCCGCCCTCCTCCCCCTCCGTCTCCTCTGGGGGCATCTTCAATGGGGAGCCGGAGCAGATGGGCTCTGAGGCGGAACGGAGAAAATCGGGCTTCAAGTCGCGCCGCATCGCCGGCACATCGGCGACGCGGTGCTGGGAGCCCCTAACCTACCTCGGCCCCATTTTTGGTACGCACGCGCCCACAGAAGAAGCAGGGCGGGAGGCGAAGGCAAAGAGCGTTCTGGAGCGAACTGGAACGCTCTGGCTCTGGAACGCTCTGGAGCGAGCTATCCTCATCCTAGGCCTGCCTGAAGGGGGGGAGGGTGTGAGGGGGATGGGGGTCTCCGGGGTGTCCCTCTGGAAGCCTCCGGAAATCCTACGAGGCCGTCCCCGCGAAGGCCGTCCAGTCCTGAGAAGGGGAGGGGGAGACGTCCAGCAGAGACCTCGATCCGCCACTCCCCCTGCTCCTATCCCCTGCCCCCTCCCCCCTCATCCCAGCCTCCACTTTCATCCACTGCCGATGCCCCTCCCTCCCCCATTTGTTGGACGGATTTCTCAAGCTCTCCGCCGCCACAAACGGTGTGCGTCCAGAGAGAAAGAAGCGCAGCAGTGCCACGCTTACCTGTGGCTCTGACGCGTTCCTGCTCTGAACGCGCACCGTTTGAGGCGGCGGAGAGCTTGAGAGATCCGTCCAACAAGGGGCCCCTCCCATCCCCCTGGACCCCCCCCCCGCCCCCCCCCCAACCTCCACCTTCACCCACAGCGCCCTCGCCGTGACGGGGGCGCGAGCACAGCCCGTGCAGCGCGAGGCGGTCCTCGCCGTTGAAGCCATCCGCCTCGATGCGCAGGACGTCGCCCGCCTGCAGCACGCCGAGGTCGCTCCATGAGGAGTGGACCAAGTCTCGGGGGACGCCAGCTTCGGGTGCGCCAGAGGGGGTGGAGCAATGGGGCGAGAAAAGAGGGGGTGGTGCGCATCATGGCCCGAGGCATGTGCGTAGACGTGTGGGGGGCCAGGAGACGCATTTAAAGGAGAACAGTAAGCATATAATAGTAATACCACATGTACAAATGGTGATACTGAGCCGAAAAAGGATAACAAGGGGGTCATTCAGTATGCGAGATGCCATGGCCCCGTCATGATGTCCACACAAACACACACGCAAACACAGCCTGCTGCTCCTCCTCCTCCTCCTCCTCCTCCTCCTCCTCCTCCTCCTACTCCTACTTTTCCTCCTCCTCCTCCTCATCCTCCTCCTCTTCCTCCTTCTCCTCGGTTCCAGTCCAATTGAATGGGGCAATGATCCCCCTGCGGGGCACACGCTAACCTGGATGACGGATCCGTGCATCTGACACGAGAGCGCCAGATCCAACGATCAGGGAAAACGTCCAGCGCAGAGTCAAGAAATCCGCGCGCAAATTCAAAAGCTCATGCTTCATGAGCTCGAGGGCCCAGCACCGATTCGGGAAAACGACCCCGAAACATGGCTCCAGTGCCGCCCGATTCGGCGACGGAACGCGTCGATTCCTCCACGCCTGTGGCTCCTCGGCCCTGGTGGCGACCCCCGGTGCCGCTGCCACAAACTGGCGCGCCCCCCGAGATGGTGGGGTAGCCCGGGCCCAGCGGGGTGTCCTGCCACTCGAGCGGCACCCCGTTCCAGTCGGAGCTGCCGCCTGCTGAGACGGGCGGACCTCCTCCTCCTCCTCCTCCTCCTCCTCGACGGGGGAGGGCGGCGGCAACGCTCACCAGGAACACGAGTCTAGGCTTTTCAGCCGCAGCCGCTCTGATCATCCCAAGCTTCTCGAGTGCGCTATCAAAGCGGAGCAATCGCTCGTGGAGGGCTCGAGCGCCCCTCGTTACCCAGCTCGGAGGAATCCCTGGAGCCAGGTATGGAGAGTGCGGGGAGGAGTGGGGGGGGAACAGAACCAAGTAAACTGCATAGACATTACCTTTCGGAGGTCCGTGCGAATTTTGTGAGTTGGCGCTGGGCTCCCTCCAGGGCGCGCGGAGAGTGCCAGGGGCGGCGCCAGAGGCGAAGCCAAGGCGGGTCCAGAGAATATAGACACGCCCAAAAACGTCAATCCTGCATCCTTTTCATCCTGCTCCTCCTCCTCCTCCACCTCCACCTTCTCCTCCTCCTCCTCCTTCTCCTCCTCCTCCTCCACGTCCTCGTCCTCGTCCTCCTCGTCCTCCTCGTCCTCCTCGTCCTCCTCGTCCTCCTCCTCCTCCTCATCGTCCTCATCGTCCTCCTCCTCCTCCTCCTCCTCCTCCTCCTCCTCCTCCTCCTCCTCCCCATCCTCCTCCTCCGCCCTGAAACCGAAAAGCGGCAGCGGTGGCCTAGCTGCTGGAACTAGCTGTGACAACTGGTGAAACCCGGTCACGCCATGTGACGTCCTCGCTCTCCTCCGTGGGCGGGTGGGTGGGAATTGGGTGTCCCAAACAAGCATGCTGGCGGTAGCAGGGCCCTCAACAGGGACAGCCTGCAGTTGCCCACGGCACAAAACCACCGCGACAGGCATCGACACTCCAGTGCCGCAGTTGTGGGAGCGCCGTTGGAGCCTCCAAGCATAACCTGACAACCCGCAGGCACCCTCTGCAGGGACCCCTGGCAAGCTGAAGCGAACGAGCCCCTCCTCCTCCTCATCATCCTCCTCCTCCTCCTCCTCCTCCTCCTCCTCCTCCTCCTCCTCCTCCTCCCCCTTCCCCGTTTGCAGATTCGGCCCCCTCCTCCTCCTGCTCCACCTGCTCCTCCTCATCTTCCTCCTCCTCCTACTCCTCCTCCTCATCCTGCTCCTCGTCTTCCTCCTCCTCCTTCTCCTCCTCCTCCCTCCTCCTCCCATGGCAGAGCTGGCCCCCTTGCGGCCTAATAGCGGGCCCAGGCCCGGGCCCGCGGGTCCGAGCAGGGCGACGCGCGGGCGGAGGACGTCGTAGAGCTGGAGGACCAGGGGCCCCGAGAAGTCGCCCTTGTCACGGTGGACGGGGGGGGGAGGGCATGCGAGACAGGGGCGGGATGAGGAGGAGGAGGAGGAGGAGGAGGAGGAGGAACGAGGAGGAGGAACGAGGAGGACGAGGAGGAGGAGGAGAAGGAGGATCAGTGAAAACCGAAAAGTCATGAACGATGTTGGAATAAACCCGCCCTCCAAGCTCCCTCTTCGTAGGCCCACACAACGCTTAATTTCCATAGGGGGCTGCCTCGTTGGAAGACAATCGTTTGAAGACCCTGAAACATGCCAAAACATTGTTGTCGGGATTCCAACCCCACGGACTAACCTGACTGTTGCGTCACCATTCCTGGGACTTCAACACCGCGAATCAACATAACTGTTGCAACCTCATAACCCTGAAATAATCCAAAACACCATTTCTGGTACGCTGATCATAGGAATCCGTGAGACACTCTTCCAAAGTTTCAACATGAATGTGCGCGGCGCTAAGGCGAAAGCCACATGATGAAAACCACCCGCCCTGAACATGTGAAGCCCTTGTAAACTGTTAAAGCGTATGTGCACGGCGCTGAGGCAAAAACCACAGTTTGAAAACCACCCGCCGTCAACATGTGAAGCTCTTGTGGATTGTTGATACGAATGTGTGCGGCGCTAAGGCGAGAGCCACATTTCGAAAACAACCCGCCCTCCATCGGTGAAACTGTTGTTCCCTACCTAGGCTCTGCCTAGAAGGGTTCTTACTCTGTTGGCTTAAAGGGGCCGGGCAGTGGGGCTCGCCCCGGGCGGTTCCCCCGGCATCCGCCCCGCGGTTCCCCCAGTTACGTCCCCTTAGCTTAGCGTGGCTTATCTCATCTTAGCTTAGCTTAGTTCATCTTAGCTTAGCTTGGCTTCATCTTAGCTCAGGTTAATCTTAGCTTAGCTTACCTTCATCATAGCTTCGCTGAGCTTTAGCATAGCAGAGCACAGCACAGCATAGCGCAGCACAGCATATCATAGCATAGCCCAGCATAGCATTGCATAGCGCAGCATAGCATAGCATATCATAGCAGCACAGCACATCATAGCATAGCGCAGCATAGCATAGCGCAGCACAGCATAGCGCATGATAGCATAGCATACCTTAGCATAGCACAGCACAGCATGTCATAACATAGTTTAGCATAGCATCGCATAGCATAGCATAGCGCAGCATAGTATAGCATAGCATAGCATAGCGCAGCATAGCATGGCATGGCATAGCATAACAACTAATGCTGCTTTCCGAGGGGGTCCAACTTCTAGGTAGGGTCGCACTGGAGTAATCATTGTTTAAGCTTCAGGGTCGTAAATAAGGAGAAAGTCTCAGGCGTAACGCCCAGACCGCCCTAAAAACTGGCCTCGGGGTGCAGCCGGGAGAAGTTATGTTTAAGGTTAAGGTGAATGGAGAAGGAGACAGAGGGAGAAGGGGTGGGGGCAGGAAGAGGAGGGGAGGTCAGGGGGGAGGACGAGGGGCCGAAAACTTACGTAGATGAGCCTGTGTGGGCCGCACGGTATGCCCTCGTCGCCGCAGCTGGATGCGCTCTTGTACATTCTGGTTCGAGCCACCACGCGCCATGGGACGAGTATGGGAGTTGGCTTTGAAGGATGAGGAGGGGGGATGAGAAGGAAGGTGAGGAAGCGGGAAAGAAAAATGAATAGAAGGGGGGACGAAGAGGAGGATGACGGGGGATATGGAGGAGCGGGGGGGCAGGCATGAGAAGGAGGGTGTGGGGAACCAGGAGAGAGATGTGAGCAGGGATGGCTGAGGTCGGGAGAAGGGGGACCTGAGGATGAGGACGAGGAGGAACCAGGAAATGCGGAGGATGGCGAGGAGTACAAACCATGGAGATCGGGAAGGGAGGAGGGGGTACCAAGGCATGAAAGCATGAAATCACGAGGAGAAAAAGGAAGTGGACAACACGTACACGAAGGTAAGGGAAGAAGCGGAGACGCATCACGACCAGGGTCATGAGGAGAACGCGCAGGCCTTGCGATCGTATGCCATCTTGGGCTGCGGCTCGCCGTTTAGCCTCACGCTCCACGCGCTCTCTCCCAGCTCCAGTTCCAAGACGAACGCGACCGCCGCGCTGGCGAGCTGCCAGGGCTTAGGCACCGGCACGTCCTCTGGCGATTCGAAAATGGGATCCTGACGGATGGGGCTCCAAGGACGAGGGTGCCTCAACCAGTGCCAAACCGACCTGGGACTCCTTCCCATCCTTGGGGCCTCGTCCCTCAGGGCCCCATCTTTGAACCGCCGAATCCTTCTGCGGGCCCCAGCCGCCACGCAGGCAGTGGTTCATAGCGACAACGCCGCCGCGGGGCCGCGGGTTGAGGTGGAGCAGGCGGGAGGCGTCACGCTTGCTGGTCCAGTGCCGGCCGTCCCCGCTCCAGACGTTCAAGTACCACCCCCACCCTGCGAGAGGCCCCTTCTCGCCGTTGAAGCCGGCTGCCTGGACCCACCTCTTGCTCCTCCTCCTCATCCTCCTCATTACTACTTCCATTGGATCCCATTGTCACTCCTCCTCATTCCTCCTCCTCCTCCTCCTCTTCCCTCTCCTACTCCTCCTCCTCCTCCTCCTCCTCCTCCCTCCTCCTCCTCCTCCCCTCCTCCTCCCTCCTCCTCCTCCTCCTCCTCCTCCTCCTCCTCCTCCCTCCTCCTCCCCCTCCCCCTTCTCTCCTCTTCCTCCTCCTACTCCTCCCTCCTCCCATCTTCGCCGTTGGATCCTCTTCCTCCTCCCACTCCGCCTCCTCCTCCTCCGCCTCCTCCTCCCTCTCCTCATTACAATTCCATTGGATCCCATTGTCACTCCTCCTCATTCCTCCTCGTTCCTCCTCCTCCTCCTCCTTCTCCTCGTTCCTGTTCCTCCTCCTTCTCCTCCTCCTCCTCCTCGTTCCTCCTCCGCCTCCTCACTTCCCCTCCTCCTCCTCAGGCTCCTCCTCCTCCTCCATCCTCCTCCTCCTCCCCCTTCTTTCCCTCTTCCTCCTCCTCCTCCTCCTCTCCTACCTCTTCTTCTCCTCCTCCTCCTCCTCCTCCCCTCCTCCTCCTCTCTCCTCCTCCTCCTCCTCCGCCTCCTCGCTCCTCCTCCTCCCCCCGCTCACCCTACTCCTCCTCCTCTCTCCTCCTCCTCCCTCCTCCTCCTCCCCTCCTCCTCCTCCTCTCCTCCTCCTCCTCCTCCTCCCCCCTCTCTCCCTCCTACTCCTCCTCCTCCTCCTCTCTCCTCCTCCTCCTCCTCCTCCTCCTCCTCCTCCTCCCATCTTTGCCGTAGGATCATCCTCCTCCTGCTCCGCCTGCTCCTCGTCCTCCTCCTCCTCCTTCCTCCTCCTCCTCCTCCTCCTCCTCCTCCGCAATCATCATCATCACTATTCACAATCATCATCATCATCACCACCATCACCAGCAGCATGATCATGATCATCACCATCACCATCAACCATCACCATTCAGCATGATCATCATCATCATCATCAGCACCATACATCACCACCACCACCAACCACCATCATCATCAGCAGCATCATCATCATCAGCATCATCATCATCATCATCATCATCAATCATCTCATCATCATCATCATCATCATCGTCATCACCATCATCATCATCATCATCGTCATCAGCATCATCACCATCACCATCACCATCATCATCATCATCATCATCATCATCATCAGCATCATCATCATCAGCAGCATTATCATCATCCTCATCAGCAGCACATCAGCATCATCATCATCATCATCAACATCCGCATCATCATCATCGTCATCATCAGCAGCATCACCATCATCATCATCATCATCATCATCATCATCATCGTCATCACCATCATCATCATCATCGTCATCAGCATCATCACCATCACCATCACCATCATCATCATCATCATCATCAGCATCATCATCATCAGCAGCATTATCATCATCCTCATCAGCAGCGCATCAGCATCATCATCATCAACATCCGCATCATCATCATCGTCATCATCAGCAGCATCACCATCATCGTCATCAACCTCATCATCAGCATCATCATCATCATCCCCATCCTCGTCCCCATCATCATCATCAGCAGCAGCATCATCAGCATCATCATCATCAGCACCAGCATCGTCATCATCAGCAGCATCATTCTCATCAGCAACATCAGCATCAGCATCATCATCATCACCCTCATCGTGATCATCACCATCACCACCGCCATCATCATCAGCATCACTATCATCACCAGCAGCAGCATCATAAGCGTCAGCACCATCATCAACATCAGCATCATAATCATCATCAGCAGCATCAGCATCACCATCGTCATCATCATTCGTAGCATCATCATAATCAGCATCATCAGCATCATCATCAGTGTCGTCACCAAAACCAGCATCGGCATCATCATCATAACAATAACCAGCATCCGCATCATCAGCATCCTCATCATCACCATCAGCAGCATCAGCATAAGCGTCAACATCATCATCCTCAGCAACAACAACATCAGCATTGTCGTCATCACCATGAAGAATCTTCGCTATTCACACTCTCATTGTCATTGTCATCATCATCCTCATCATCATCAGCATCACCAGCATCATCATCATAATCATCAGCATCAGCATCAGCATCAGCATCATCATCATCATCATCACCATCATCATCGTCATCATCGTCATCATCATGAGGGCGGACCGTTTTCGTGCAGACTCTTCTATATCATGCAGTGTGCAGCAACTGATGAGATCACGACTCCCACGAACGTTTTTCAACTGGTGGGAGCCTCTGGAAGCTTCTCCAGAGACCCTCTTTATAAGGTCAGGGATACAAGGGTGGGACTTGCACAGTCACAAGAAAGATTGGGCGGGAAAACTTTGAGCATAAACGGGCAGCGGTGCAACCCAGCTCGCTACTCTCACTACGCTCTCATTCCAGTCCCAGGCAGTGCCATGAGGGCGGACCGTTTTCGTGCAGACTCTTCTATATCATGCAGTGTGCAGCAACTGATGATATAACGAGTCTCACGAACGCTTTACAACTGGTGGGAGCCTCTGAAAGCTTCTCCAGAGACCCAATTCCACAACGTGCCCACGACCATTTATGCCCTGGGGCGCCGGAGGAGTTCAATACAGCCCTGACCAGAAATTCGAGCCACGTGACTGTCGTGAACAATCTCAGCGAGCTTTTTGCACAGGGGAGGGGGGCAAGGCTGGGCAATCAGAGTCCAGAACTTTCCGTTCGGGGCTTTGCCAGACAGCTCAAGGTGCGGGCGGCCCGTCCTGGAGCAGACCCCCCTACCAGAACACTTAAAAGGCTCGAGAGAACTACCACACTCATCAGGAATATTACACAACATGAATTTAGCTGCCTTTCTCCATCGGGCCCCGAACTGGCAGAAGTCAGCTCTATGTATAGAAACACGCGGGTGGGCGGCCAGCCTCAATACTTCAGGCAAGATCCAGAACATGGACGTGAGAGGGTTCTCAATGATACACGGAACCTTCATTCTTAAACACAGGCGAAACAGCTTGATCGTGAACCGAGTCAAGATGTTACCCACTCTCACTTTCTTTGAATCGGCGGCATTGAGGTCGCTGAGGCCCCGCGGGTGTTGGTTCGAGCGCAGAGGTGGAGGACGTCCACGACGCGCGCGGCTCAGGGATTGAGAAGGTGTTGCAATCATCACTCCTTGGGCCTTGCCAGTCCGAACTCTATTCAGAACAGCCTGCTGATTCATTTTCTTTAGTAGATCGTGGTCTGGGCCAAACACGATGTCTGTCTTGGTCGGTCGACCACCTTTCTTAGCTACCTCGGCCGAGACGCCCCCGCAGCCGGCGTAGACGTCCTCGAAATCCCAGACCGTGGGAGCGAAGGAGCTGCGGGGGCGGGCAGGCCGTCCAGGAAGACGCGCCGGAGGTTGTGCTCGCACCACATCGCGAACTTCTGGAAGCTCTTGGGAAGGCGCTGCCACTGCGCCTAAACTCGACCTCCCTTTTCGTAGCGGGCGACGCTCTTGCGACTGCTCCACCTGCCGCGCTTCATGATCTCGTCGAGCGCCCTCCTCAGCTGCAGGCGGTCCCACGACGCGCCGCTGTGCCTGAGCTGGTAGGGCGCCAGCTCGGGCAGTCCGAGCCGCTGGGCAGCGGCCTTGAACTGCTTCAGGTAGCTCGCGTAGCTGTAGTCGAACAGGGGAGCGTCGCCCTCCTTCCCGCGCTTCAAGTCGACGAACAGCTGCGTGGTCCACGCGTCCTCCTTGTCCCAGACAACGGTGTCGTCGTAGATCCTCACCTTGGTGGGCCGCAGCTCCTCGGACGGCCGAATGACGAAGGTCCAGCGCGGCCCCGCGTTCGCCGACGGTGGGATCAGCCACTTCGCCTTCAGCTCGTGGATCTCGCCAGGGCGCCCGTAGGTCACGAGGGCGATCAACGTCTCGATCGCCATCGTGCGAAAGCCCGCGCGGACCAGCTCGGCCATCATAGCCGCCCACACATGGCGCGCCTCCGGGAGGCGGGGCTGTCCAGGCGCCAGGCGGTCCCAACCCTGAAGGGCACGGTGGGCTCGGGGGAGCCGATGCATGCCGGCCCGCCCGAACTCCGGGCGGAGCCCCTTGATGGCCGCCAGCAGGTAGTGCCCGACGCTGCCGTCCATCCCGTTGAGGAACCGCTCGTCGAACACCTCGATCAACGCGCAATCGATGTCCTCCGGGGAGTCGAGCGAGAGCCCGAGCCTCACGCAGTCCCGCCCATCTCGATGTACTGCTTGTCCACCTTGTCGCCCACAGCCTTCATCTCGAGGAACGAGCGGCCGAGGGCGTCGGCCTCCAGCGAGTAGCGCTCCTGCCTGGCCAGCGTCGCACTCGACCTTCTCCTCTTGGCTGGCTGCGACATCGGCGCACTCCGCGGCAGGCGGGCCACCAGCCGCTGCTTGGCTGGCTGGGGCGCTGGCGCCGTCTCGCGAGCACAGTGGCCGTTGCTGGGGGGCCGTCGTGCCTCCCGCCGCCCCGCGCGGGCCGAAGCCTCGGGCGGCGGGGTCGCCATCCTTCGCCCGTCGCGGTCCAGGCTCATATCTCTGAGACGGTTCGTCTGCAGGATTGAGCTCAGATGGCAACCGACGAACGTGGCAACGGATGTTCCTGGCCAGGCACAGGGCACGCCACCTCCGGCAACAGATATTCATTTTGAAGTCGGAGGCCCTCCCCTTGCAGAAGGCCAGGATCTGGCCCAAGTTGCCCCCCAAGAACACGAGGTGACGGCCTTCAATCCCAAGACGCTTCGCGAGCCGACGTAGGGCCCAGATCATCCCCTTTGCCTCCAGAACGTGGATGGGCCCCTTCCGGGAAAACCTTCCGCAGTACACGAACTTCCAGGGGGCCTTGAGGATCCAATCGGGGCTGATGTCGGGGAACTCGGGGTCCTCCTCCCAGAACTCGTCGGGGTCGTTGGTGCCTTTGGGAACGTGCACAGCGAACTTGTCCTCCAGGGCATCTCGAGAGCCTGCAAGAGCATGAGCCCGATGAGACATGCCCTGGCGAACTCGGAACCTCAACCGCTCGTCGACCCTCCCCACCTCCTTCGCACTCTTCTGGTCCCAGATACTCTCGACCACGCGCCATCCTGTTGGGCAGGCGTCTGTCGCCGCGACCTCGCAGTGCCAGGGCAACCTCCACTGAGCAAATGCGAAGGGAAGTAGCGCCCGCGCAGCACTAAGCTCGGCCCGCACGGAGGGCCACAGGTCGACCTGCCCACTACCAACGTTCCTCATGAACTGGTAGGTCGCCGACAAAACCGACAACAGCGGGCGGCGGGGCATGAAAATGAACGTGAGGTGGCCTACGGTCGACTCCAGCTGGTGTCCCGACGCTGTCCCTCGGTCCAGCAGCCAGGTGAGCAAGCTATCGACCTTCCACATTATCCTCAGGGCGGTGGCCACCGTGCCGGAGCGGCCTTCGATCGCCACGCCCAGGATCTCAGCGTCATGCTGGGCGTGCGCGTGCTCGTGGGTGGACAGGCCGACCTCGTCGAGCGCGTCGCAGGCCTGGCCTTTCAGAGTCTGCGCCACTTCCCGCTGGCCGCCCAAGAACCCACGTTGTCAACGTAGACGCAGTGGAGGGGCTGCCCGCCGGAGGTGATCAAGCGCGAGCCGCCGAACGTCTGGGGCCGACGGCTGGCGGGCGCGCCCGTCGCAATCTCCACTTGCTTGGCGACCGCCTCCTGCGCCAGGTAGAGAGACCACTTGAAACCCATCGGGAGCACCGCGAAGCAAGGGTGCACCCAACGGTCAGGCCACAGCCTCTCCCCCTCAGCCTCGTGGAGGCCGAGCTCCTCCGCCCTCAGGGGCGGCAGCGCGAAGTACCGGCTCAGCTCCACATCGATCTTGAACCTGTAGAAGGCGTCCTGCACATCCCCCGTGCTGACAAAGATCTCAGTGTCATCGTCAACCTCGATCAGACCCAGGGACTCGGCAGTCGCCAACTCGACCCCTGGCGGGTGGCGAAATCGGCGGTTGCTGCGGCGGGCGTCCACCACCAGCCGCTGCTTCCCCGACTTCTTCTTGACGCAGGACACCGCGGCGCGCTCCTTCGACGAAGTGCACCGCCGTAGGACGCCAACAGACTCCAGCCTGCGGGCAAACTTGATATACGCCTCCCGGTCCCTCGCCAGGTTACGATCCATGTAGGGCGTGATAGGCTCCGAGTTGTCCGCTAGCTCCCAAAATTGAATATCCGACCTGACCATGCGCTCTTCAAAATCTACCAGCATAGATGCAGCCTCAGCCGGCACAACGTCCACCGTGCGAGGGCAGTCCTTGCGCGAGGCGGGCACCGACAACAGCTCTTCCTGGTAGTCGCTCACAATGTGCTCGTCCAAGTCGTAGCCGGCTCGGGAACGCAGAAGCGCGCGCGCGGCTTCATGCGGGCGGGGTGCAGTATCCACGGCCTGAGAGCGTTGAATCACACTCCGCACGTGCTGGGTGGCCTCAATCTGCGCTGGGGAGCCACCGCCGTCAGGCCTCGCCCTCTCGCCGCACCCGCTCAGCCAGTTCAAGGCGTTGATGGCGTCGTTGGTGCGATAGATGACGGCCTGGCGGCGAGCAACCCGTTGACGCACCCCTCGGCTCAGCCCAGCCCTGCACGGCCCCTCCCCCGCCAGCGTCGGCAAGGGGAAGAGCTCGGGCAGCATCTTCAAAAGGTACAGGTAGCCCAGCCCGACGACGGCCGTCCGGCTCGGCGACAAAAACGCGCCCAGGGGCGCCACCCCTCCGAGGTAGGAGCGGCCTGCAGCGGGGCCCCTGCAAGCCGCCGTCGCACGGCTAGTTCCCTCCTGCGCCTCCAGCCCCACTTTTGGCGCTCGCCTTTGCCTTTGGATTGGCGGCGGAGCGCACCTCTTGGGCCTTCTGGCGCTGCTTCTCGATCTCGGCCTTCTCCTTGGTGCGGGTGGCGACGTGCGCCGTCAGGCCTGGCGCGCCCCCCGCCGTCCGCCGCTGATGTCCAGACCGCAACTTCTCGTCCTCAAAGCGGCCCTCACTGGGGCCCCGACTGGCGGCATCCAGCAGCAGCTGCATCCTCCTCGCGAGTACCTCGCACGCGGCCAGCGAGGCGAGGCTCAGCTGGCCGTAGCAGCCCGCATGCTCCATCAGCCGACACAAGGCCTGGAGCTCGTGCGCGAGTCGGTCCGAGGCGGCGACCCGATTCTCCGCCAGGTACTTGTGGCACCACTGCATGGGAGAGCCCCCGGTGCGCTCGATGTTCTTCGCCATCCACAGCATGGTCCGAGGGCCCTCGACGGGCCAGTCCTCGTAGAAGCTCTCATGCATCTTCCCGACGGCGTCCTTCCAAGAGCGGAACCGCTCCCCCTGCTCGTCATGCATCGCGGCGAGGGTCCTGGCGTCGTCGTCCACCTCGTCCGTCGAGCTAGCCCCCTGACCTTGGGACAGCTTCCCTGGGCCTGGCGTTCCCTTCGGCATCAAGGCGGCAATCTGCTTCCACCTCTTCTCAGCGAAGCCGTCCACCTCGCCGACGCCGACGCGATACAGCACCACCACGCCAGCCCCGGTAGAGCCAGCCACCTGCGCACCCGACACCGACACGAGCATGCGGCCCCCCAGGCGGCAAGCGTCCTTCTCGGAAAGGATGGTCGCCACCGTGACCTCCGTGCCCAAGCCGAACAGCTCACTCGGCTCGCCCACGACCCAACGGTGGCTCACCTCGTCCTCCACCAAGGGCACCGCACCCCCTGCCTCTCTGTCGTCCAGAGGCGGAGTCGCGGTGCCCAGAACCTCCCCAGCATCTCCTCCGCCCAGTCGATCCTGCTTGCCGCGAAACCGACGCGGCGGAGGCACCATCCCGCCGCCCTTCCAAAGGTCATCGCGGGCCACCACCTGGCCGTCCCACAGCTGAGCGAACGGCACCGCGGTGATCACCCCGTCGCTGGGCCGCGCGGTCGCCTTGGCCAGCAACTTCGCCTCGGTCATCTTCATCCTGAGGGCCCGCGGCCCTACCTCTTCACGAAATCGGTACCGTGGCGAATGCACATGGCCAGGCACTAACCCGCCTGGCGACAGCACGATGAACTCCTCGATGTCGCCACCGATGAGCTCCTCTGGCATCTGATCCCCGTCGGGCGACTCCGTCACCCATTCTCTATCGCTCACGGGCCACAAGCATACTCTCTCATGCAGCAGGTCCTCACCCGCGTCAGTGTAGCGAACCAGCAACCGAGAGCCGGGCATCAGGCTTCTCAGTGACGCCCCCACACCTGATGGCAGGACGCCGCGCCGAGGAGCTGACACCACCAACATACTGAGGACCACGCCGTCCAGCCAAAAATCCCCCGACGGCCGAGACCAACGCGTTGGCGGCGACCACCAGCGCCAGGATGACCCACGGCGGCTCTTCTGGGCAACTGAGCCCTGGGCAGGCTGGGCACAGCGCCTGAGGACAGACCAGCTCTGGCACCGGGCAGGTCAGGTTCGGGCACGTCGGCGGAGGCGGGCACGGCTGCGGGAGCGGGCAATACTCTCCGCCGCTGCCCGTGGCAGCCCAGCTGGCCACAAGCCCTGTGACCGCTCCACGCCCGATCTCCCTCGCGGCAGTCTGGAGGAGATCGCCGAGAGAAACTGGGAGCACCATCTAAGGTGCGACGCCTCAAAAACTTTGAGCATAAATGGGCAGCGGTGCAACACAGCTCGCTACTCTCACTACGCTCTCATTCCAGTCCCAGACAGTGCCATCATCATCATCATCATCATCATCATCATCATCATCATCATCATCATCATCATCATCATCATCATCATCATCATCATCATCCTCATCATCATCA